ATGAAATTGTTATGTTTTATGGGCAACTAAGTGGTGGTGGTGGTATGGTATTCCTCACACATCATATCTTAACCACAAATCTTTTGTGTAATTTACCAATAAAAGTTGACAAATAAGCTGCCGAAACGATTGTTTATTGCGAGTGATCGTTTATCGTTTGAAGTATAATATTAGTGCACGTCATATATTGTGTCTGTGAGCATCATAAATCCTCAGTTAATGCGTTCACTTCTCGTGTGCTTTTCATCTGATACGAATTTCACTGATCTGATCTGAGAATGATCGTTTCTCACTTTATATTCACAACTTCAGAGCATGGGTAAGTGCTCTCGGATGCAGTTGTAAATTCCTCGAAGTCTGCTCACTTAAGATATCATCTGGTGTTTGCTAACTTATTTGAACTCTCGAGAATTGATCGAACACCTATTTTTGAATTTGTAGAAGGTGATGAGAAAAGCGATTGTTCCGATTGCAATCCATGATTGCACGTCTGGTTTGTTGTTGAATTGTTTTCAAGACAGCTAGTGGGCCTTGTGAAGGCACAAGAAGGGAACTCGGAACAGTGATTATTTTCTGTGCGATCGTAAAGCCGGTTTCATTCAGGATGTTCTCCTGGTCAAAAGTTATTGAATATACGATACGAGAACTATTCGAGATGCACGATTGGTTTTCATTTCCTTGTGAGTATTGTTTTGCCATATATACGTCAACGACTAACTGCGATACTGCCACGATTCTCCATCTCCGAAAGGCGAATACAGTGGTGGGAATCACTGAATGAACTTTTGCAATTTGTTTATCATTGTTATTTTATTCGATTCGGCGGATGGCAGTGCATCACTGAAATGCTGTTGAATCTAAGAACTGTTCATCGTTCGAAGCCTCGATTAGGTGATTTTCATTCATTCTTTCGTTTCGGATTTACCATATTGTTATGCAGCTCAATTCATAAGTGCTAAACTTAACATTTGTTTCTTGTTTACATTCACTTTTATAACTTATTACCCGTCCACCTTATTCTTAATTGTTATTTTACGAATTGGATTATGGATTTAAATAGTCGTCCATTATTGTTTCGTTATACGTCAAGCCCAAGAAACAGGCATCTCTGATGATTTAGTGAGTTCAATTAACCATCAAAACGTCCCAGTTTATACGTCTCAATGTTGTGTAATCANNNNTTCATCGATTGCAAATGAAATATTTTCAAATACGAAAACGAATATAATCAAAATGAAACAAACGTAAGGCAGTCGAAATGATAATGCTAAGCGCACAATATAATAATATCAGAAAATGAAAATTTTCGAACAATTCTTTAATATTCGAATTTTACAGGCACAATGAATTATGATGCATTGAATCGGGAATTATTATGGATAGCGTTTCGCGATTTGCTTCTTTTCTTGTATCCACTTCAAATTCTCATTCAACGATTTTGGTATCGTCGTAGGTTACGTAGACGAATCGCTTCGAAACGCACAACAGCGAACGATGATCGTGCCCACTATGTTTCTGCTCACAGCAACACTACTACTGAGTTTGGACTGAAACAGATTCTCGCTCAGCAAGAAACCGGAAGGATATGTACTAGGAGTGAGCATGAGAATCAGTTGAATTCATCGTCATTCGAGCACGAAACCTCGAACGGTGATAATGTATTGATTTGTTCCTATTGTGAACAAACTGCCGTAATTCCAGTGAGAAATTCAGCATGCGGTCATACGTATTGCTATTATTGTTTTTGGATTGAGCCGTGTTGTTGCGCATGTGGTATTCAACTAGTGTTTAACTCTAATCTTGAAGAATCTGATCGAAGCAAGTAAAGATTATCTCTTGTCTAGGTCATACACATGTACATTGATAATAAACAACAGTTATCACATAATCACTCTCTGTCCATTCGTCCCGCCGTTACCATCACCATTACCATACGAAACAAATATACTGCCATTGTAATCATGCCTGAAATTGTAAAAAACTGAATGATTGATTCAGAAAGTAACTCAAATGAAAATCCTCCTTTTACATTGTTCAGGTAAGTTTATTAGTCANTTGCCATAAGTCCCTTACTCACTCTGTTGCCTCATCAAGATCGGTAGTGTAGGTGTTCTACTGAATGAAAGCAATGGTCATATTGTGTGAGCGAAAGTATATCGAAACGTTTTTTTAATGCTATTATATGTAGGTCGACGCTAACTGGTACAATTCGGGTTTTTTTGCTCAAAAGCATGTGAATGAGTCGTTGAATTGATTGGAACACAGTCGAAGGAAGACTCAACAGTTTGGATTGATGAGGAACAACTGTTCATTTTTTAGCTGTTCATTTATTTTCTCTTCAGCAAGGCGATATTCTCTGTGGCGACTGAATCGCTCCTCTCATAAAAATCTTTGACGAATACCCAATGCGTAACTTATACGTCGAGTTGGAATTACAATTTCGAAAATATTATGCGGCAGTGAGTGGAATTTTCGTTAATTGACAGTTTAGCACTGAGGAAAAAATTCATTGGAAAAGAAATGACATGAACATTATCGACCAAGTTTTTTATGTATTGTTTGATATATAACTGATGAGAGCTTGATTATCACTATTAATCGATAATAACGTTCGGAAATCTTGATGTTAGCGATCATCAAACTTGGAATTTTTGATGTATTTGTTGAGCGAGTAGGATGTGACAAGAAATTGTCAGATTGATTGCGATTAGGAATTTTTTTGTAAATTGAACTTCATGTTTGCACTGTTGACGAAACGAAAACAGATGAATTGAGCAGGAGAACGAAGAAAACGACTTGAAAATGTCATTCAATCTGTGGACATTCATTCAGTCGATTATATATACTGTTTTTGATGTTTTTGGCTTCTTTTGTGTGACTGACAAGCGTTCATTTGAAGTAAACGAATGAATTCGTATTTGCTAATCTCTTCATCAAGAAGCACCATTCAATCAAAATAAGTCACTCGCGACAAACTGTCCCAGCAGCTTGATAAGATTCACTTATCTAAACCAAGGATTCAATTGGAGAGAGTTCAGTCGAAAACGAAGTTCAGTGAACACTACAGAGAACTACTGACTGACCTACCAATTTTGGCGGAGAATTTCAATGAATGAAATCTCGAGAATGCTTTACAGTTGACAAAAGTTGCATAAACCCATACGCAATAAATGCTTAAAGCATATGAACTTAATCGCACAATGTTTTAAGTTCGGTTGACTGTAAAATTTCATCGCACTAGTGCAAGATTCACTTCGTTCATGTTCCATCCCAACCATGTGAGAAGTTATGATGCCCTCTATGGCATTCTCGTTTTAATTACACTAATATTGAGCGAACAATAAAATATCACTTCGAAATTAAAATCAATGATGCCAGAATTAATTCTTGTGATGAAATAATTTCATCAGAACTGCAATAACGGCGATTCAACATGTTAACAATGGCAAGTTTACTTGTTAAATAGACAAATACGAAAATGACATACAAATCTAGGAGCACTCATGCTCGCTACTTTTGATGTTCCGAGTGGATCATTCTTGACCTAGGTTCAAGTCAAATCCCGACTAGTTGCATTCGGCCAGAAAGGTAAGCATGTCATGCGTTTCATACAATCTCGTAAGTACCTCTTGTAATGATTCGGTATCTTAGATCCGGACCGATAGTTGCGCCTTCCGATTTACTAAAGTCAGATCCGGCTAAATTCACTCAAAAACTGAAATTTGTCGATAATTTGATTATTTTCGAACCAGATGCTTTTCTAGGCAAAAAACTTGAATGCTACTGCTTGGCGACCAAAGATGATTTCGTAGTTTTGGAATCGTAGTTATGAACTCATCATAATTTAACGCACTTTGTATTTATTATCTTTTTTATGAAAACTTCATCACTCAAAACTCAGTTTGCTCTTTAATACGCACTGAAGATAAATCTTCATGATCCCAAGGAAATTTAATTTTGGTATGGATCACCAGCAAGCGTAAACCGGTTCATTGAAGGGATGAAACGGTCAACACTGATTCTACGATCAATGAGCAAGAAATACATGCTCGAATATGCAAATATTTGAAAATGTCGGGAATGATGAAATACGTCAGCAGCATATTCCTATCCTAACAACTTGAATAATTAAAGCTTTTCATAAAAAGCATCCAACAAACATATGTCCGCGACAAAATACTAATGTATTCACATGTTTCGTATTCATTTCAACTTTTTATATTGGCATTTGAACATTTCAAAGAAACCAACTTATAGCATAAGCTTGGAATATAGAAGTATTTGAGCGCTCAATATGTTCGCATATGATTGTGACTTTCTACTAATTCATAACATTCGTGAAATGAATCAATGAATTCGGAGAATTTGAACACAAATAAAATCTACTGAAGTTATTCGTTTTAAAAATGCTCTTTTGCTTACTCTCACTCTTCATTCATCCGATTGGTTCAGTGAGAATGAGACAGCGATATCGAATTACATCAGCAAGTATTATAGAGTCGATAGATTCGAATGATTGTACGAGTTTTGAATTTCAACTTCAACAAAATAAAACAAGTAAACAATTCAGTTTCTAGGTGCAGCATTTCTCAGAATAGAATAAATGATCGTGTTTTGAGTTGTGAAAAATTTTACTAACGATAAGAATGTAATCTTCCTAATCGGAGCAATCAAAATGTATTTGTCGATCCACGAAGTATTTGACAAACTGCTGCTGATTTAGTGAACTGAACTCGTTTATAATTTGAAGCAATATTCGTGATTGAAGTATGAGATGATAGTTTAAAGAATTGCAATTTCGAATATGCGAGCAAAACAATCGGAAAGAATGAACGAACAACAAGCTTATTACACTCATGAAACAATGAAATGTCAGAACGTTCCTTCCGGATCGATGATCTGTTACCTAAACGACCAACAGCAGTGAAATCTTCGCGCAACGATATAGCATATCACGCTGTTTGATGATCGAAACTTTACGCAATAGACCTATATGCAAGTGAAGTTGTTAAGAAAGAAATATTGCAACGAACAAATTACCAACCAGGATCAGTGCATCAGTGTTCGTCTCGAGCCGATGAGGCAAGCGCCGAACTGGCGACCATATAAAGAAGGCACATAAGAACGACCAGAATGAGAAGATTCACGATCAGAATGAAGGTGTTCTTATCGAACGTCTTCTCGGCCACTTCAACAATACTTTGCTTCCTTGACTGTGGTGCCATAGATGTCGAATTGAAGATGTGATTCTTATGCGGATATCAATTGATAATAGTCAATGATTACAAGCAATTCTTCGTGAGAGTATTAATGAATAAACTCCTTATTCACCTAAAGTTTAATGCTTATGCTTAAGTTAACTTCAATTGAGACACACACCCACGAAACAAAACACCTATCAAATAGAAATTTATTCGGTGGAGACGGCCACAAAACTCGGGAGACGAGAACAACTGCCAGCAAACGTGAATCGTTAATACTAAGACACTCAATGTGAAACNAGTGAAAGCTGTTGCTTTGTTTTGCTACACCCTACAGACAGACAGCTCACGAGTCAGCAGCCAAACTTAAATATTTCATTAAAAAATCTCATTGAAACATCATATTTTCAGTTTCATGACAATTTGTTAATATCGGCAATGTTCGACGCAGCCCAACTGTGAGCGAGACTTTCAGTTCAAAGTAACTAAATCGATTCAAAGCACCGCAGAGATAGCCTCGAAACGATTCGATCTTCTTGGCTTATGGCATTATTGAAAGCAATTTTCTAAGCCAATAAATGAGAAAATCATGCAGATTTCAAGCAAATGCGTTATCTAGTGTCTGTCGAATGCGTAAGCTCTGTGGTGAACAAAATAGTAACGTGTCGATTGACCGAATTTGATAATTCAATGACTGTGGATTATCAAATTCAGTCAATCGACACGTTACTGCTAATCGTACTCGCTGCAAAAAATGAAATCAACTAAAGGAGGAAAGAAGCTTAGCTTCAAGACACTCTTTACGTATCGTAAAAGAACAATTGAAAAACTGATGGACTAAATGATTTCTTCTTGTAGTAGGACGATCTGATCGGAAAGAGTATGTTAGTTTGAACTGATTCGTAAACGTGAACGTTTTTAAGCATTTCAATTGTGCATTATATTTGCAAGTACGAGTAGTTCGTAGACATCTGTTAGTGTATGTGCGTATGCATCAACAAACTAATCAACAAGATTCCGCAGATCAATCAGCCGACTGGAACGATTGATTTATTGTATTTAAGAGGACTCATTGCCTGCTTGCCAAGCAGCGCCTCAGGCCATACTGCATTGTGTTCGCGAGAATTTTGTTTCACTATCACTCAACGTGAACGCATTCAGTTCTTCTTCACTTCGTACGCATACACATATGAAATGCTATTTTAACAACATAATCATTGGCATTCCACCACGCATCGCCCATCAAATTAGTTTTATATGCTGAAAAAATATTTTGATTTTTTTGTTCCATCCGTTAAAATAACGTTCGGTAGGAGTTAGTCAGTTTTTCATAGTGCAAACTATCGAATCAAAAAGCAACTTCGGAAAGGGCGCTACTAAAACATCGTGAATTGAATATCATAAAGATACGTTGCTACAGAAGAGTCAAGTACATGAGTACTTGCGAAGGGAAAATAGAGTATGAATTTGAGGATGAAAACGCATCAATCATATTCACATTTCCTTGTTTACTTGGCTCACACAATCAATCACGAAAGTACACTAATTGTAATGAATTAATGCTCAACAATTGTTCGCTTTGAACGTTTTTTGCTCGCACCCAAATAATAAACGACCGTCATACGAGTGTTCGATGAATTCTTTGCTTGTTTACAACAAATCGCTGCTACTCTATCATAAACTCATGACCAAACTTCAGAATGGCCTCTTGACGTTTGTCGTCACGTCTCGAAGACAGTGTAAAATGTTTGTTGTTTGGGGAAGAGTTCTCTGGAAGCATTCAAACAGGTAANGCTGTTGAGATGAACCTATGTAGGGATGTTTTTTTGAAAATTCGCTCGCCTTTGAGTTGTGATCTGTTCGGGTGTTCGATTAACTGTTCATTTCACTTGCATCAAGCGGACTCATTTAATCATCGTAAAATCACTTTTCTACAATTAATACATATGGCACTCTACTAAAAGCATATCAAAGAAAAATATTATAAAGCAATTCAACATACACAATATACTATAATATTACGACGATCATAAGCAAAGAAATAAAAATGCTATAATATTATGACGATATAAGCGAATTAGTAAGTTATTCGCTCCACCAGTACCTATTCAAATAAACGCCTCTAAAATCCAATAACCGACAAGTAGTACATTCAATACAACACCAAATGAAATGCATTATACGATACCGTTAAATAGTTTCGACAACACGTATATACAATAAGGTTGAACATTAAAATATTAGAAGAAAGGAATCAATCCGAAGATAGAATCGTTCAAGGCGTCGAGCTCGAGTTCACTTTCCTTCCGAGAGCGAACAAGTGCTCCTGCACAATGTCAGCAATCGCTTTTCGCCGTTCAATCTCAGTCTTTCCGTCGAATCGATTCACGTATTCCTTCATGTCCAACACATCACCAACCGTCACATTAACATGCTGAAAGAGAATACCAATCGGAGAAACAATAAATCCAATCACTTCACATTCCTACTCATTCAAACTTTATCCACAAGTTCTTCCTACAAAAAATTCAATGAAACTGTCACTGACCTTGCCAAAATGAGGTCGAAACGGAGGGTCTGAGGTGAAAACTTCACCCATACGCTCAGCCCATATTGGCACAACCAATGGTGGAATTGGAGATTCCATTATCTGAAAAAATTGCAAATTGGTATCAAGAAGTCATATCTCGTCTTTCGAACAAACTTAGTATGAAACAATATTTTTGATTGAGAGATAGTAGTAAATGAGCCAACTCCAACTTGCAAAAATGACACAATTATACTGTCATGATAAATTCAGAAACAAATTTCAATAACAACATCAACTGAGCTACTAACCATTCTGGCTACTCCCCACTTGATACGAATTGGCTTCGGAGTTACCTTACCTTCGGGAAACACATGCACCCATTTGTTTTCGGCTAGCATATCGATGCAGAAATCAACAGCTCGTTGGTATACACCAATACCTCGAACCACAGGAACACATCGTCCTAATGAAAAGAATCTGTAACATGCAATCATCCCAGTCCAAAAACAATGCTACCAATGTATATAGAGAGATTTTATTAATTAAATTATTCACTTACGCTGTATGCCACGCATTTGTAAAACAAATGTTATGGGCGGCTAAAATGTAACGAAATCGCGATCGACCCGATATGAACTCTCGGAACGAGAAAATCGCTGAAAATTTACCTGATCGATCAATGTCGTAAATGATCAATCCACTTACGTGCTTCAGCATGAAGAGAAAATCGCTAACAGATTCTACAACTTATGCAAGAGCAGCAACTAAATTTGATAAACTATCATTATGTAAAGGAAGAATTGATTAAAAAACTGACTCCATAGCAACGGATCATCCAAATTAGAACGATGATTCGCAACAGTGATCAACGGTCTACTTCGATCCCTAATTAAACTTAACAGTTTATCTTTATTCACAACTGTTATTTTATTCAAATCTGTAAATTACGACATAATTAACAACGAAACAACAGGAAAAGAGTACACATAAACCATGTAGTACTGAATGTATGTTCTAGCCTCTAGAAACTCGTCAAAGATTCAGATGCAGAAAAGGAACGTGAACAAAATTTGAACTGTGTGAACACTGAACACATCACTATAGACATCAATAAAAAATAATAAAGAAGTAAATTTAAACGAAACTTACTGAAAGCGAAAAGTAATTTGGAGACGAGAAACACTGATGTTAGTACAGTGTTTGAGCAGAACCTATAGAACAGTGACGGTTTTTTTGGGAATGGCCATTCGAACTGGAAACCTTCGACGCTTTCACGACCCATGCACAACGACATTCGTAAGAAGCATATATATACAGCGAGAATGCATAACCAACATAACACTGCAGAAATGATTACGTTATTGCCACAAACATGATCAGTTCCAGGAGAAAACTAGTTGTCTGAGACTTGAGCAATCAAAATTCAGTGATCGATAAGGGAAACAACACCACCGTTCGATCAAGTGACATATAACGAATAAAGACGCAATCATACGGCAAATCTCATGCATCCGACAATATAATCCTATAGACGAACACTCACCCAAACCAAACAGCGCGAAAATAACTGTAGGCACTGATTTCAGCACTGCAACGAGAACATCAAGGCTGAAATCAAGGGCCCGCATGATAAGCAAGCATTAAACAAATTGATATTGAAGCAAAACTGGAAAAAGAAAATTAAGCAAATTCATAAAATTAATTTGCATATACTTTAGTTAAAGTCGACTGACGAAAACGTTTAACAACTCAAAAAGACACGATGAAATTAAACACTTCGGTTGAATTACCGATCCAATTCAACACTCAACTGACCAGATTAAACATTCAAAGATTCCAGATCCATTTGAGAGATCCATTGAAAGTAAAACGGAAATGACACCGAACAACTGTTGACAGGGCAATAGAAAACGACACTGAAAAACTGTTGACTCGGAATCACTTCGCCACTGATTGATGGTGCGCATGCCAAATCGTCATCGTATTTACATGAAATGATTGCATCCTCACGGCATGAAATCATCTACTGGTTTCAGGCTCAGAACTAGTGTTGGGTCGGTGACCACCAACGGTTTTGCGGCGGTCCCCGACCGCCGATGATCACCGAGTTGCGATGGTTACCGACCCGTCGGTGACCACCACAAGGCGTGCTCGGTCGGTGACGGTGGCAAACCGCAAGGCGGTTACAAGCGATCGACGACCGACCGATGCTCAGAATTTGCCTCTCGGTGAATGCCGAATCGCGGTGATAACCGACAGGGCTCTCGGTCGGTGACCACCGGAGAAATTCTTGAGGTTCCCAGCATTATTCAGAACGTGGCAATCCACAAAAAATATGCATCATTGTGAATCTTTTCCCCATTTGTGGTGAAAGGATTATCTTAGGATTCACAGAATTGAGATTGATCGTTGTTTGTTGAGCGAGATTGGCGTCTAGTGGTATGTTGGTCCGGTTGTTGATGTGATTCACCACACGGAGAATATTTATTTGGTTCGGTATGAGGACACGAACTGATAGGAAGGATTGATGTAGAGCAGATCGAGAAACGAGACTTCAGTTACGACTAAGCAACATAACAAGCAAGATTTGAGGTTGAGGTCATGGAATTGGGGGTGTGGCTCTATATAGAAAATGATAAGATTTTGGAAGATTGAAGACGATTGACATAAGGTCACAAGTAAGATGTGTTAATATGAGAGCATTGGAAGATATTTGACAATTACGAAAGATAGTAATAATGCATAGCTGTGTGGGGAAAATGCAGGAGCGAATACATGTGAGAGATAAGAATACATCTATGCCAGGGGTCGGCAAGTACGTTTGACCACGGGCCAAAATTTTTCAGGGCAACTGACTAGCGGGCAAAAATTTTTCCGAGCGATATATGTACAAACGTTAATGAAGAGAAAACCTCTAGATTCAAAATATTTACTGAGCAATTTGGTTTAGTTGAGGAGATATAGGCATTTAATAAATATTATCTCGGGTGCCACATTCAAGGCTACCGTCTTCTCAAGTTTGCCCAG